TTAAAGATCCGTGGGACTTACGCCCCATGTCTCAGGGCTTACGCCTCGCCTCGTCAGAGGTAAAACGCCTCGCCTCTCGCCCCCGCCTTTTAAAACATTGGCTATTTTCACACATAATAAGGAATTCGCCTTTTAGCATTAATTAATAATAAAACTGACCATATTAACCTTAATTTGTTCATTGAAACTCTAACAAATACTCCCTGGCTCTTTACCTCAAGGACAAATGGAAAAAAGAAGATAATTCCTTCTTGATATCTGAAAAAATCAAATATTATAAACCGCAAAAAAAACTAAAAAATCAATTAAAATTGACCGGAGGAAGTAGCAACTTAGTTTTACAATCAGTGAATCCTTGATTTTCACCATCATAAGATCACATGCCATAAGAAATCTAAATTTCCTATCCATTCCTAGAGATTCTCCTAAGAATCTACGATATATATGTGTAATATCCATTTGATTATAAAATATCTCGTGTTGATTAGTAAGTAATATGATATAACAAGTGCTTTCGTTCCATTTGATAAAGTTTTGGTAGACAGGAAAACTTAATACTTGTGCCGGTGGAGAGTATAAATTATAATTGAGATACGTTCAAGTTAGTCCAAACATCACCGCTTTGTAAAAAGAAAACAAGAAGGGGGAAACATTGTCATATAGGGTGTGTTTGATACGAAGGAAAATATTTTCTAACTTTTTCATATTTGGTTGGCTTAAATGTTTTGAAAAATATTTTTCTCATGAACTTATTCTCCTCCAATTGGAGGAAAATATTTTCCCTATCAAGAAAAGGGAAAACATTTTTCAAAACTCTTTTTCAACCTTCCTCATCCCCACCAGCTCCCCACAAGCCCACCCCACCCCACCCCCACCCCTACCACCCACACTCCCCACCCCACTACTGCCACCCCGCCCCCGCCCCCACCCTAAATAAAAATATTATTAATAGTACTTTTTTTTTCATCTTATAGATAGAGTACTTTTTTTTCTTTTAATGATATAAATTTTTTTTATCAAAAAAAGTGCTATCTTTTCATGATGTAAAAAAAGTATTTTCTTTCATTTCAACAAAATAATGTAGTAAAAAGTATTTTCTTTCATTTTATTTATTTTCTTTTCATGATGTAGTAATAATTAAATTCTTAGAAGAAAAAATTGGATTTTGGGGGTGGGGGGGGGGGGGTGGAGGAGAGTAGTATAATAAAAATATTTTCTACTACCTAATCAAACACTAGAAAATATTATTTGAAAATATTTTTTGCTCGCTAACCAAATAAGAGAAAATAAGTGATAAAACCACTCATTTTCCATGAAAATATTTAATTCCCCATAATCTTACAAATAACAAGGGAGAGTTCTCGTTATCTTTGTTGTTATATTTCCTTTTTTTTTTAATTGCCATTTATTAGGAGTGGAAGATAATATATTACATTTTTTGGTACAACTTGTTGCTTTGGTAATCAAAGTGATCAAAGAAGTTGTTACTAATCTACAGGACATATATATTTCCACTAAGACAAAAAAGAAAGTTGATTATGACCCACAAATGAAGAAAGATTTTGCAGTGTTCCAACTTTTCCAACGACGAGTCTAACAAGGAATTTGTGGCCTGGACTCCAATATGAATAAGACAAAGGAATGCATGTGGCTGTGACTTCCCTTTTAATAATGTGTGAAATACAAGGTGGTTAATTTTTGTCGACTTTACAGGAAAAAATTAAAAATCCTTTTTCCTACTCATTTCATTTCGTTTTCCTCTTTCCATTAAAACCCCTTTTATTGCTTTCATTTCTAAAACTCCAAGGAACGTGTTATTGTCGTTGTCCTATGTATTCTACTGAATTACTATACCATAAATCAATGAATATTACATCGAAACATTTTAAGATGCCAATTTTATTATACTAGTCTTAGCGTACACGCGTTGCGCGTGTCCCTCGTGTTAATAAAAAGATATTTTATAAATAAAACAAATAGTATTGAAAAGATATGTTTGTGTTATGCTATAAAATTAACAAAAAATTACAAGCTCCAAAATAATAAATATAAATGATATTTAGTAAAAATTGCACGGGGCGCCCTATTTGGTCGTCCCCATGTAACCTATACCCATTTTTTTTAAAAGTTTGAACTTGTACCCACTTTTTAAACAACTTCAGCCCCCTTTCTCCTCCTCTTCTCCACGCAAGAGATGCATTGTGCATCATTCGGTTCAGCGGCGTTTCTTTCGACGTTATCGTCTCAGATGTCCACATGCCTGATACGAATGGCTTTCAGTTACTGTACAAAGGTGTTTGACGTTTAGGTTTCTAAGTTATATTTATTTCCAGCTTTGGAATAGCAGCGTAGCTTTTGCTTTTTGGCATATGTGGACTTCAAAAATAGGGAAGTAGAAGTCATTGCAGGCAGCATGTGAATTGGATTACCCAAAAGAAAAACATATTTGTGGATACTTTCAACGTTCGAATCATATGGAAAGTCAGTTAAAACTTCAACTCTAAGAAGGCTGAAGTTCGCCAGTTACAAACAAAAACTTCAGCTCTAGAGCTGAAGTTCGACAGTTACAAAATAAAAACTTCAACTCTAGAGCTGAAGTTTGCCAGTTACAGTACTTCAGCTCTAGAGCTGAAGTTCGACAGTTACAAAACAAATACTTCAGCTCTAGAGCTGAAGTTCGCCAGTTACAAAACAAAAATTCAGCTCTAGAGCAGAAGTTCCCCAGTTACAAAAACAAAAACTTCAGCTCTAGAGCTGAAGTTTGCCAGTTACAAAACAAAAACTTCAGCTCTAGAGCTGAAGTTCGCCAGTTACAAAACAAAAACTTTAGCACACTTGCTACTTCAGTCCTGTATACTAGAATGCTGAAGTTTTGCGTGATTGCCTTTGCTACTTCAGCCCCGTATGCTGAAGTTACGCGAAAAAGTGGGTACGCTTGCAATTTTTTTTGCAAAGCGAGCACAAGTTAAAACGTGACCAAAAAAGCGAGTATAGATGCAAATGCCCCTGATATTTAGGGGTTTCATCTAGTATGATAGTTCTTCCTCAGTTGTTTCTCTTGCTTGCTTTATTGTACAAAAAAGTCACAGGAGTAGCGTTTGATTGAAAGGTAAATAAATTGTTCAACTTTACTTAAGGACTTGGGTTCGTGCATTGCATGTATATTTCATGTTACTTATTATAAAATTTATGTAAGATGGTTTACCGATAATTTTTCTTTTTACCTTTACTCATTTTATGGTACTGCAAAAGTTGTAACCTTATTCTATTGATAATTTAGTAATCACATAGGTAACCGAACTCGATTATTATTAACAGTTTTTATAATTGTTTTTGCTTGATTATTATTTAATTTTAACTTTCGGGAAAATGCATAAGTACCCCCTTGACCAATATCCGGATTCCCAACTACACACTTTTTCTTTGCGGGAATCCTATTGTCCCCCTAAACTTTTTTTAAATGGAATTATTTGCACCCTTAACGCTGACAACCAAACTGTTGGCAAGTGGTGAAATACACGCGCCCCCACATGTATTTTTTGGTACTTTTTTTATTCTTTCTTCTTTTTCTTATCTTTTTTTCTTATTTCTTATTATTCTCATTTTTTTGGTTATGTCATTCTCTTTCTTTTTTTTTGGTCACCGGCGGCATAAAATGGTGGTCGTCGGAATTTCACGAACACCATTTTTTCCGGCGACAAATTTAATCCCGATCTAAGTGTATTTTGTTTTATATATATATAAATTTTTCTTGAAGTGTAATTTATGTGTGGGAGGAAGAGCAAAAGAAATAAAAACGAATATAACCTGAGAAGACTTTTTCCAGTTAAAATTTCAATATATCATTTTTTTCCGGCATGGGAAGGTTTTCCTATGATGAATTTTTCCCCCCAAATCTGAGTGTATTTTGTTTGCTTATGAATAGATCTTTTTGAGAGTTTAATTTGTGTGTGGAAAAAAAATGGAAGAAAAACAGTTAGACAAAGTCGCCGGTGAATGAATATCCGCCGGAATTAGAGAAGAAACGAAAAAAAAAAGTAAAAGAAAAAATACAAAGAAAAAGGAAAAGGAAAAGGAAAAGAAAAAGTAGGAAAAAAAGGTTAAAAAGAATAAAAAAATAATCTGAAAATTGTTTTTTCTTGCTTCTCAGTCTCCCTTGGGAGAGTGAAATACACACACTCTGCCACGTCAGCGTTAAGGGTGCAATAACTCCATTTAAAAAAAGTTTAGGGGGGTAATAAGATTCTCGCAAAGAAAAAGTGTATAGTTGGGAATCCGGGTATAGATCGGGGGGGTACTTATGCATTTTTCTATTTCTTTCTAAAGTAAATTTTTTACACGCGACCAATATATATGTGTGTGTGTGTCTGTCCTTTTTCTATTCCTATTTATGTGTACAAAATATATATTGATCAACTTATTTACCATTTAAAATAATGTCACATTTAAAAAAGATTATCATCTGATTATTTCTTAATATTTAGACAATAAAAATAGACAAATATTGTAAGTATACTGTAAATTCTACGTCCATATTTTAAGCGAAAATACACTACAAGAAAGTATGAAATTTGCAACAAATTTTTTTGTTGCCATATATTGAATATTGTTGCGAAAAGTACTTTTGGCAATAACAAGAAAGTTGTTGCATACCGTTGCAATAAATGCTAATGGGAAAAGTTTTTGCAACAACAAAAGACTTTGTTGCAAAATGTTGTCTTAACGCAACAAAGAATGTTGTTGCCATTAATTATATTTTGGTCACACAATTGTGGTTTATGAAAATATTTAGCAACAAAAATTATTGTTGCGATAAATTATTATTTTTTCGCAACAATATTGCTTGTGGCAAAAAAAATTGACGGGAGGGAAGTTAATATTCTGTTATAAAGGCTTTTAGCAACAAATATTGTTGTGGCCACAAATCACTTTTTTTCAATAATATTACATTTTCTATTGTGCAGCTAGCAACAATAAATATGTACAATTCATATTTTCTATCTTTTAAAACATCACAAATATATAAAAATTGATATATGATATATATTTGCAAAAGTCAATACAACTGAGGCACTAAGTATTTACATACCTTCAAAAACTAAGTACCACTAAAACATATGTTTTTACTTACAAAAGAACAAGAACATCTCCAAAGTCATAATTTCTGTTCTAATAACAACCCTAAAAGGAAATTTTCTTCCAGTAACTTGTGAATTGATGAACCATATTGCCAGCTATGTTGGTTTATTCATGCTCATCCTACAAAAAAAGATAAACTATAATTATATTTTTTTAATAAATAAAGACTATAAAGTACACAAGTACAGACCAAAAGAGAGAATTTGGGCATCAAATGAGAGAATATGGCCGTGACTAGATTACATTGGAGAAAAATTAAGCATGATGGAAACAATTATAATTGCATATGAATTGTATATTCTGCTACTAGTAAGTAGTAATCAGATCACACGTTTATGATAGTTATTATAATTAATTGATCTTTTGACTCTAAAGAAAAAGATGACTTAAATTTTAAGATAAAAGAAGACTTTTGAGATCACTAAACTCCTTTTGGCCATAAGAGTTTCATATACAACAATTTCTTATGGTATTGATGCTGCCAAAAGGTGTAATAATAACAGTAAACAGGAACTCATCAAAAAAATGATAGTGAACAATCTTAAAAAAGTTACAACTAAGAACTATAAAGCCAAGAAGATGTAAGGGAGAGTAAGAATGTTACAGGAAGATGACAAAATATGGATAGTTCTTGGGGAAACAGGATTCGAGCCACCCCTTTGACTCGGACCAATTTGATTAGACATGCTCCAGAGGTAATATTACAATCTCTCCACATAACTAAGCACATCATTTATACAGTTAAAATCAATGTGGATGAGATGAATGTATGGTCGAAATACTTAAACCCAACTCATTTCCTATTCCCTTATCAATTATTCTTAGCATAATTAGTTCGGAATTATAAATTTAATCCTTCTTTTTGCACCATGGAACCAATTGTTGTACATGGTAGTCTAATCATGTGGCCTACTAGCTTCTGGGGCATTCATCATTACCAACATTTGTTTTATTTCTTGTTTTAGATAACATATTGGTGGCTTGTTAGCTTCAGGGGAATTCATCAACACCAGTAATTTCATTTACTTTCTTGATTTAGAAAATTAAACATTTATGCAGGTTGAAAGAAACAATAAGCAAAGGGGATTTATGACAACCAAGTTCGCGTTGTCTTGTAGTAAAACTGCCCAGAATAAGTTTGATACAAAGCCAAAGGTGACTTTCACAAAGCCAGCAACTAATTTATTTGTGAGACCTGAAGGCAAAATTCATGTTACGAATGGTGGTGGTGGCGGCAACAACATATTAGATAGGAATATAATGAAAACATGACAGTGAACATTATCAACCAAGGAATTTACTTTTACAAGAGTTAGACGAAATTTTCTTACCGTGATGTCATCCATAAGTCTTGAGCAACTTGCCTCATCTGAACAACGTAAATTAGAAATAATGTTGAGAAATGCAGCGGAAACTCCATTCTGTCAAACATAGTAAAACTACATAACTAAATTGGCGTACAAATAAGTGAAAAGTAATGATATAGGAACGAGGAAGAAACAGAGATAATGCAACAAGAGTAATTTATAGATTCGGTTGTTTTAATATCTTCTTTTCCGTAATCGAAGTGTTTTGTTTTCTCGGTCTCTTTGTTTTATTTTGCATTTACTGCTGGTGAGCCTCAACTAAGAGATGGTTTTTTTGCCACTCCGGTTTAATTTTGCAGCTGTATTAACTTACTTCCTGGCATACATAAGCCACTCAGCTCGGCCAGCTGCAATAGGATATATCAAAAATAACTGCACCATGGCTAAATCCCATAACTAATTTGTTCTATAAAAAGTGCTTTTCTTCCGGCAGTCCATTGCCTAATCAAACTGCTTTTGGTGTTACTTGTCACAAAAAAGGCAAACAATAATGTTATCAGATTCTTAAAAGTTGATTATTTCAACCAAATCAAAGACAATGTAAGGCTTTGTCTATCTTGATCTGCTTGAACTTAAGCAACCAAGAGTTAGTTTTCCTGCCACTCAAATTTCATTTTTGCAGGTGTAATAACTTTCTGCCTGGGAATACATAAGCCATTCAGCTCGGCCAATCTTGTTATGAAATATAGTACCTTTTTTATTTCTTGAGTTCCCTTTACAGAGAAGTGTATTTGCCTGGCAGCTTGTTATTTATTCCTTGGGCTGTTAAGTTTAACAATAGAATTCTTGGTCTCACATGATTGAAAATTCATATGTCCACATTGCTGCTCAAAGTAGTCTTATTTAATTAACCTCCTGACTGCACAAGTGCCAGCTTGCAATCATCCGCATCACACTCTTGCTGATTCAAGGTCTAATACTGAGTTTTTATCTCTAATAAATTTTAAATCTGTGTGACGAGACTAACACATAAAGTGATGCTATCATTTTTACTGTTGTGTACTTTGAACAAAATATTCTTAGGATCAAAAGCAAGTAACTGAAATACCTCATTACTTAGAATATGGGATGCTATTGCCATCATGCTCTGTTTCATTAGTTTTTGGTCTCGCACCATGGCTTCTCGATTTTTCCGCTCCTCCTCAAGCTGAATCTTTACTTCTTTTAGCTGGATTTCTACACTCTCTCTTTTACGACGTTCTTCTTCTACCTCTTTTTGTTGTGCTTGCAGTTTCTCTTGAATTCCATTCATGGATCTCCTACTTGTTGCCTTAACTCCCAATCCTTGACCACGACAATAACTTGACGTTTCTCCAACAACTTTCACAAATGCATCATTAACAAGCGGGTCCAAATCAATATCCTCTTCAATTTCTTGAGTTTGTTCAGCAACATATTCTTTCACCTTATCCTACAATTTTTTTTATACAGGCTTTAACTTTCAATATTTATTTCTACAGACTCGCATTTTCTAGGAATAAGTATAAGAGTTTCGCACGTACATTTAATTTAGCAGAGGCATCATTAACCCAATGTCCATTCTTCATGTGAGTCAATTCCCAAAGTTTCTACAAGTTTGGCTCTTTTCCTGTGCTTGTATTTCTCTACCAAAACAAATCAAATTATGTTATTAAATAAAAATAACTAAAATTTATCAAAATAAAGACATATGTTACCTCTTCAAAAGATACTGCCTGGAAGAATTTTCTGTCGCAAATATGATCATTTCTTGTTTTGCCTTATTGGTTATGTTTCGCTCACTCATTCTCTGCAATGAATTTGAATCCGTAAATATATTGAAGCAGTAGGGAACAACAACACTAAAGGCAGTGCATCAAGTGCAAAGGCAACTAATTGTAACTTGTAAAAAATTGATGAATCTTAACTTTAAATGGAGAATTATCTTGATCACAATTCCTCATTCATAAATTTTTTGCAGACTAGAGAGAATTAGGAGTCCGGAACCGAAATGTTGTCTTTTTTGACTCAAAAGACAAATAAAGCCAACAGATACTAAAACTACCAGACTTAAGTTTCCAGAGAACACAGATAAAAAACTCTCAACCACTTAATAAGATTAAGTACAAAGGAACAATCCCATATTTATCAATATGTTCGTACAAAACTCCAAAGAAAGAATTGCTAGTCTAACTCATTTCTCGACCTACTCAATCAGTTGCCCTCATGCACTGAGCATCTCAGCTGTATACTTCTGCCGCTTGTATATGTATGAAATGTATTATAGTGCAATCTTGAAAGATTGGGATATCATATTTTGAAGATATTCCTGAATAATATAGTACGTATTCTCCTTTATTTCTTTCTCAAATAAAAGCATAATCAATCGTGAGAGAAGTGCAAACTTCTCTTGATTAAGAGCCTTTGCTCTTCTTTTGTTTTTTTATACTAAATTTCAGGATCCAATGCTAGCATAGAGGAAAGTACCTAGGCTTGCCAGGCCAATGCTTCACTCACATGGTATGTTTTTATATCTCCAGAAAAATATTGACTTTCTCTTGAACAATAAAAAACAAGTAATTTGTCATGAAAATATAATGATTTGTCCGCCATGAAAATATAGTGCACTACAAACAGCAGTGTCATTTGTCAACTCAGAAACTCGATCAAGAAACAATAGGAAGAGGAAAAGCATCATGAGATTTATTATCTGTACAAAATTCGTTTAGAATCTAACAATTACAATTTAGTTATAACTATGAAGAAATCAAATAAAGCTATGTGTAGAGAGCAAATTAAAAAGGTGAGAAATGCTTTTCTGTAATTAACGGTGATGCAACAGATATGCTATGTTTAGGAATCCAAAATAAAGTATACACATCTCTCTCTTACTCTCTGGACTAGATCTGTCTCTCTTGAATAGTAGTCTGCTCTTATTTCTTTTTCATTTTTTTGATGACTTGTTTTGAAAGGAGGGTTGGGATTAATAATATCATAAGTTAATATGATACTACAGTAACAGTAGTAGTCTAGGTTCTATGCAGAGGAATTAGAGGAGAAAACATTGCAAATCCTTCTCTGGCATAGATAAAAAAAAATGATCCTAAAGGATTTTGCTTTTCATTCCTGAGACAATACTGCAGACTCATCCAACGTTATGTCGAAACTATATTGACCACTGTATTAAATCATAAATGAATTTATTGTTCAGAATCAAGCACTCAATATTTCAATCGCATTTTTTCTAATACTCCCCCTTGTCTCATTTAACATGACATTTTCTAACTTGGTACATTGCTGACATACTTCAACCATAATACTACCTTACGTAACTTACCCAAATTTCAGGGATTCAACTTCATTTTGACAATTAGTAATCCATTTCCCTATCAAATCTTTGCTTCGGTTTTAGTATTTCCTTTAGCTAGTACTTTAAGTCTTCACTAAGATCATGTCATATACAAGTCAAATTGATATTATAAAATCTCCATGCATCAAAATATGTTAAACAAAATGGGATCACCCAAAGATCACATATGTAAAGAGATTGGATAGCAAAGCAAATCCACGGCAGACTGGAAGCTAATTCAGGCAGAGAACAGAATTGAAGAGAGACATCACTCCGAAGTCTATAGGCCAGGAACAAATACCTAGCATATTACTCATTTAAAATAAAATATAATCATATTATGATTTCACCAGAAGTCTGACAAGAAAAACCCACTAGTCACAACCTACCTCCATAATCTTTATTCTTAACATCCAGGTAGGAATCAGGAAGCACCCTTCCCGGTTTTTTATGTTTTTTTTATACATTGGTATTTCCATAATTTAGTGAAGAAATTCGGTAAAGCAATTAAAGATTGAATTCTTACCTGTTCTTCTCCAGTCAGCCGCAAAGCGAAGCAACAAAGAGGACGCAGCAGCAGGGGACGCAGCAGCAGGGAAGAGACGCAGCACGCAGCACCAGGGAAGAGGACGCAGCAGCAGGGGAGGAGCTCTTTCAAGTAGAATTGATAACAAAAACCCTAGCTAGAATGGTTATTAGGGATGGGCTAAAAAGGACCGGGAAAAGTAATTAAAAGGGAAAAAGGCTTGCGGCTGGATTTTGGCGGAAAATCAAAAGTTTTAGGCCACGGTATGTCAAAATAATTTTATTTCCAACAAAAATTCTTTATTGTTGCCAATTTTATTGCCAACAAAAATCCTTTATTGTTGCCAATTTTGTTTATAATTTCACTTTATTATGTTAAATGTTTTATTTTTTGCAACAACTAAAATTAGCTGTTGCCATTTATTAAAATTTGGCAACAATATAATAGTTGTTGCTAGAACGTTGTTGTCATTTTTAAAATTTTAAAGTTTATTATCTAAACCATAGAATATGGCAACAAAATTAACATATTTGGCAACAAGAAAATTTTGTTGCCAAAAAAGTCTATGCTATAGCAACAATTTTATCGAGTTGTTGTCATTTATCCATTTTAGCCAACAATATTTTAATTGTTGCTAAAACGTTGTTGCAAATTCCATACTTTCTTGTAGTGATAGAACGTCCCAATTGCTTTTTAAAGTCTAAATTCATGCCACCTTAATATGAATTATCATTAATGTTTTCATCTTTTTTTTTTTAATCAAAACTATGACTTACGCGCACTATTTCTTACGTACCCTTTTAAATATTAGGCATAAAATTGCTGGATCAATTAGTTACTTTATTTTACTTAAAACACACGTTAATTTGCTCCTTTTTTCAAAGAATATATGTCCATGAAAGTATCATGTAAGAATTATAATTTTGTAACATATATAGTTTAAATAAGGAAAAGATCTAAGTTAGGTAAAAATCTAATTGATTTTAAAGTTCTAAATTTTAAGATTTTCTACCTAGTTCAAATGGAAAATAATTTAATAATAAAAAATTTAGTTGATTTCAAAGAATTAAATATTAGGAGCATAATTAAATGACTATTTTGTTTAGCGTAAACTCTATTTTTATGTAAAAAAGGCGAACGACATTTCGCAAGGCCCTTCGTATTATATTATGTGAAGAAGAATTGTCGTAAAACAATTGGAGTGCGAAAAAATGCAACAGTCTTCCAAAATGTTTAATACCAATGTTATTACATTGAGAAATACATGAACAAATGATTAAATGATTGAAGAAGTATGTCCAATTTAGAGTGAGTTGTATGACGTCTTGTAAAATTGCTACTACGATATCACTTGTTGAGGTTGTTGTTGTTGAAGCTATCATACCTCTTGATCAGATATTTTAATGCAAAATATATGATGTTTTTCCTGTTTCTCTAAGTCCATCTACAAAGAACAAGCCTGCTTTATTAAAGGTGACTCTTTGCTAAATAGTCTAAAAGCATTGCTCTTGTTTAGGATTTAGTTATTATTTTGCATTAAAATCTTTATTATACTTTTATAGACTTCTCCAGTTATAAATCTTCTATCCCTTGATCAAGTTTAGGTACCTTATTTTCTTCACCCCTCTTTGACATAACCTCTAAGAGATAATTAATGCTTTCCCATGTCTGTTGTAGATGACTATCATATAAATTATCATATACCCTTATAAAATATTCTAAAAGATCTTTATAATTTGTATCCCATAATTCTAATTAAAATCGACTTTACAATGTACGAACATAGTTGCCGATAAAATTTTGGAGAGCTAATGGCTTTGGAAAAGGACCGTCGCATGTAAACTTTCAGAAATATTGTTATCTAGTTAATTCTAATAATCCTCTTTATTTTGTTGCTTCTTTGAATGTTTAACACTTTTTTGCATTAATAGTAAGTTTTCAAAAGAAAGGAGCCCCTCACATAGTTCAACAATAATCTCAAATAGCTAGTATCTTTGAGCTTTTCTATGATTGGCTTCACTATTCAGGATAAAGTTAAGTAGATTAATATCACGACCCAATTCCCATACCCGGTCGTGATGGCGCCTCTCGTGAAGACAAGGCCAGCCAACTAACCCAAATCCTTTCACTAACAATTATTAAACATAAATGAATATAAGATACAACTTAATGGCATTAGAAACTGGTAACTACTACCCGACCGGGGTGTCACAAGTCACGAGCATCTAAAGGAACCTGATTTAACTACAGGGCCAATATTATACAAAAATAAATTTCTGGAAAAAACCAAAACACAACATCCGGTGCCGCGAACGCTGGCGGTCACCTTGCTCAGCTACAATAACAATACCTTCAATCCGCTAATAACCCGCTACCGGGTGAACGATACCTGCAACTGCACGCGAGGTGCAGGGAGTAAAGTGAGTACTTCCAACTCAGTGGTAATAAGAGTAAATAATAACTGAGAGGCAAGAAATCACGTAAGAGCACTCCATCATGCTATATAGGACAGTACAACCCTTTTTAGAAAAACAGTAAGACCGTGAAAAATCCTTCAGAAAATATCTGGCTCAGTTTAGAAACCTCTTTTGAAAATATCTTTTTACAACAGTCATGCCAATGAATGCGTATTCAGATAATGCAAGTCCGCACATAAGTCAGCCCCTCGGACACAGCACTCCACTAACAATTAACACCAGGGCGTCTGGTAAACAGTGCAAGAAGTAGCATGAATGCCAATGAAATGAGAGTGCTGAATGTCATGACACGTAGTACAAACAGGAACCGATGCATGAATGCAATGCAATGCACATGACCGCTGCGGCGTGCAGCCCGATCCACTTGGGTACCCACGCTCACTGTGGGGGTTCAGACTCCGGAGGGGCTCCTACAGCCCAAGCGCAATATCATCATAGCATCGCTGCGGCGTGCAGCCCGATCCATCCTCAGTCCAGAACATGCAAATGAGCCACTCGGGCAATGTCAAGTAATAGCTTTTAACTCAAAACATCAGAAAAATGCAATTTAAGTCTTTAAACTTTAGCAATATGACTGCACATTTCAAAACAGGGTTTAACTCAGGACTGAAATCATTTAATATTCTAAGTGTCATGAAAACAGTGATAATAATTCCTAAAGGATTCAAATAATCGGCACGAAGCCCAAAACCTGGCAATCAACCCAAATCACGATAGCATCAAGTAGGTTTCGGTCAATTACGCAGTAAAATCAACAATCGGGACGGACCAAGTCACAATCCCCAACGATGCTCTACCCCACGCTCATACCTGGCGTGCAAGTCACCACAATACAGCACTATGATGTGCAAATCCGGGGTTTCAAACCCCCTGGATATCATTTACAAGTATTACTCACCTCGAACTGGCGAAATCCCTAGCTCGCGACGCCTTTGCCCCTCAAATCTGCCTCCACGCGCGTCGAATCTAACCAAAATCAGAGCGAATACGTCACAATATGCTAAGGGAACAATACCCAATCGAAAACAATCGAAAATTAGCAAGAATCTCGAAACTAGCAAAACCCGAGCCCCGGGTCCGCTTCTC